GCTGCCGAGCGCCGGGTCCGGGCAGCGCCGCGGGCTCTCGGCCGGCACCATGGGCTGGGACGGGCCGTGGCTCAACCTCTCCGGCAGCGCCCGTGCGGCGGGAGCGCCCTTCTCCGCCGGCACCGCCGCGYTGCTGGCCGCGATCATGGGGCTGCTGGTGCTGGCCACCGTGCTGGGCAAYGCTCTGGTCATTCTGGCGTTCGTGGTGGACCGGAGCCTCCGCACGCAGGGAAACTTCTTCTTCCTGAACCTGGCCGTGGCCGATCTGCTGGTGGGTGAGTGCCGGGGCGCCGCGGGGCTGGGGCTGCGCTCYGCCCGTGTCACCGCCGAGCTCTGTCCGCAGGTGGCTTCTGCATCCCCCTCTACATCCCCTACGTGCTGACGGGCGAGTGGAGGCTCGGCCGGGGCTTGTGTAAGCTGTGGCTGGTGGTGGACTACCTGGTGTGCACCGCCTCCGTCTTCAACATCGTCCTGATCAGCTTCGACAGGTTCATCTGTGTCACCAGAGCGGTAAGGGCTGGGCACGGGGTGCCAGCGGGGACGGACGGGCTGCAGGGCTGCCATTCCAGATAGGGTGGTTTGCTTAGGTCGCCTGGCTCTCGAGACCTTGAGCATCTCTCAAACACCACATGAGACAGAGGTGATCTAGGCAGCTCCCCTCAATCTTGGAAATAGTTCTGGGAGTGATCGGCTTTGGCAGAAAATGCATTTCCTTCTCACTTTTACAGTGGAAGAGGTAGTCTGCTTTAGAAACAGACACAGGCTGCGTTTGCAGAGGGAAGAAGGTGCACTTATTTCCTCCTCAGTGGCATCTTGAATAAGCCTTAAAAATATTACCCAGCTGAAGCAGACCTGTTCCCTCAGGTCATGACCATGCCCCTGTTAGCAGCTGCTAGCCCACGGTAGCCACACCACAGCCCAGGTGTGGCACAAGGCAGAGACCTCCTTGCAGTGGGTATCAAACTGTCAGGAGAATTTGATGTGTACGGCTGTATGTGGGTCAAAACTGGCCGATTACAAATTAACATCTTTCACAGGCTGCAAATGCTATTTCCATGTAACAGCCACAGAAATAGCTCAAGCCATGCCTGCTACATGTCAGTTATTAAAAAAAGGAAGATTAGACTTTGCACTTCATTTTCACCTGACCAGACTGCCTCAAAGTATTCTGGATGGTGTCAAAATAACACATTTTACCTATTAATTACACTTCTACACACACTTCTTGGTATGTTCCCCACAGATTTTCTTAAAATGTCCATTTAGTTTTGTTGTTCATTTAAAAACACAAACAGTACAAAGAGAGGCTGCAGAGTCAATTCAACAGTTTATAGGCACTTCGGTGTTTTACTAACTTCTTTTTGAAGAGGGAGAAATGAACAGATTAATTCTTAAACAGTCAACACTCAGAATTCCTTTATTTTCTAGGTTCTGAATTAGCCATGAAGTTTTCTTTCATAAACCAATCTCTCRTTACTATGCACATAGTATAAATATATAAACTAGATGGTTTCAGAAACAGAAATGGGTCATAATAAATGAAAAAAATAATCCACTTGAAAATACTTCAAATTATCCCTCATATAAAAATCCCTCCCCAAGCATGAGTACAGAAAATGACTTTTAGGTTAGGGCAGTATGAGAACATACAAACAGGAATATCTGAAGCTCCAAATTATTCTCCGTCTCAATGCACATGGTAACTTCTTCCAAGACTGCTCCTGAAATCATCCGTAGTTTTGTCAAGAACTGCAAAATCAGACCCAATTCAGACACACTCAGGTTTCCTCAGCTGTGTGGCTCCTTTACCAGAAGGAGTGGAGATCAAGGCCAACAGATTGGGGTAGTAAAAATGAATCCCGTAATGAATTTCAGGCTAAGGACTTCCTATTCCAAACACTGTGGGGATGTGATGGGTGAATTCCAAGTCACTGCATCAATATTTGTTCAATTCCTCAAGGAATCAGAATAGAGAAGCAGATGATCTTGACTTTAAGATTCTGATGGATTCTATTGCTGATACGGCTTACTGACACACTTTTTATTTTTGAACCTTAGAAAATAGAGAAGCTACATAATGGAAATCAGTTATTCTTCTGCAAAGCACTTTGCAGACCTYAACACTCCATCTATACACCTTTACTGCAAATAAGAATTCTGCAAGTACTTCATGAAAGAATGCAATCAAGTATGTCAAACAGAAAAAAATGTATAGTCAAATTTTTCATGTGACTTTCACATTAAGAAAAAAAGTCTCTCTACAAAGTAGAAAGAACTTGCATGATGTTCTGTGAATTCAAATCCTTTTATGTATTTAAAATTAAATTATTCCAAAATTCCAAATAAGGGTTACRTTTTTAATCTACAAACAGGTATCACAGCTAATGAAATTAAATATGAAGCAACTGGTGACAACTGGTTCTAGGAAGAGCAGTGGTTATTTGCTTTGTTCCAAAGCAGCCACACAACGGTTAAGAGATACTTGTAATGTTTGTGACTTTTGTCCCTCAGGTCAGCTACAGGGCTCAGCAAGGGATGACCAGAAGTGCAGTACTAAAGATGGTGACTGTATGGATTGCTGCTTTTCTCCTCTATGGACCAGCCATTCTCAGCTGGGAGCACATTGCCCAAAAGAGCATCCTCCCTGAAGGAGAATGTCATGCAGAATTCTTCTACAACTGGTATTTCCTACTGATTGCCTCTACTATTGAATTCTTTACACCTTTCATCACTGTTAYGTACTTTAACTTAAGTATTTACCTCAACATCAGGAAACGCACATTGCTCCGAAGTGAAAACCTCTCACCAGGTCAAGAGGACTGTGAAATGAATTTCCAGGGGGAAAGAAGGGAACACRCTATTTTTTTTGTAAAATCAGCTAACAGAGATGAACAGGAGAAGAGAGCAAGCAGCCTTTTTACCAAAAGAAAGGCCCCAAGGCTTCAGGCCTCAGCTGAATTTGGCAATCAGTCATCAAACCTGAATGTCAATCATGACCTTCCACCTCTCCAGGATGTAAAGACCAGGCTTCCCATRAATGGCTTCTTCAAAGCAACAGAAAGCCTTTGCACCCCCAGCAGCAAGGTGGACATTGCTAACACTATGGCAAACAGATTTAGGCTTTCCCGGGATAAAAGAGTAGCAAAGTCCTTAGCMATTATTGTCTGTGTGTTTGGGCTGTGCTGGGCTCCATACACACTCCTGATGATTATCAGGGCAGCCTGCCACGGGCACTGTGTGCACTACTCACTCTACGAGATCTCTTTCTGGCTTCTGTGGGTCAACTCAGCTATTAACCCTGTTCTCTATCCACTGTGTCACATGAGCTTTAGGAAAGCCTTTATAAAACTCCTSTGTCCAGGAAGGGCCAAAATTCATCCTCACATTTTTATGTGAAAAGTAGGAAGGCTAAAAATWAGTATATCTTGTATTTGATAAGAGCACCAAAAAGCAAGTATTGCAAYACCTGCAAATATTTATGGAATACTGGTAAGTAGGCACAAGTGTAGATATTTATGAATATGTAGAAATACAGATCCATGTAGCTGGAAAAATTACAGCAATTAAAAGAAAGGTCATTTTTTTCAAAGCTCTTTGGAAAATTACACCATCAGTGTATTTTCTGGTAATGGTGCACTAGCATTGAAGTGCTGAAAACAAAATGTAACTTTCATGGCTAATAATTAGAGTTCAGGCTCTATTACTTTTAGTAACTGTAAAATAGCTGGAATTTCATAGAGCATTAATCTTGGATCAGTTATATCTTACCCCAAACTCACTCTAAGACATCAAAGGTCTCAGCTGTTAAGTGTAGGATGCTCCCCCCCGCCCCATTTAGTGGCAAGCCAGACAAGATCATGACCAATGAAAAAAGGTAAATACAGGAAAAGCATGAGACAGGAGGCAGCACAACAGTGATGTTACCAGGATGTTGAGCGACTGTAGCAGGTAAGGGAGCACTGATTTGAGTGGAAAGGGTGATGAAAATAGAAAAGAGTGGAATAATTAGTAGAACAAAGGTCAGTAACAGAAGTGTAAAAGGGTTTTGAGACAATTGGTAATTTATACACTGGAATAGTTTCATTAGGAGTTTTCTCCCTCAGCAGTGACTTCCTATCTCCCACCACAACCCTGCATGGGCAGTAATCTACTCGAGTCAAAACTGTTTCTTACCTGGCTGAGGGGTATTACTCTACGTTTTGCTGTTAGGACAGAGTAAGCCTAAGTAGCCTATGAGATCCATAACAGACAGATCTTTAATTTTTGAAATATTTACAGTTAGACCTTTGCTACTTCCGACTAGGTTAGAAGAAAATAAAGCTGTTTTCCTCTACCCTACCCCTTGAATCATTCTATCCATCATTAGTGGTCAAGCAAGTATTACTTGAAGTATTTAGCTAATTCCCAGGTCATCCATCATGACTGGCATGACTCAAAGTCTGTTACAATTTACAGCCTTGCTACTGCCCAAGAGTGTTTCTGCCATTGTGTCTGTGCCACCGGAGCAGCTCACACAACTGATCCTGAGTTTGGAGTAGATTTGTCCCACAAGGTGACACATTGAACATCACTAACGATAGAAGCTTGTTCCACCATCATCAGCATTTACTACATAAGCTAACAGATGTTTGCCTTTGCTGACAAGTGATAATTACTGAACAGCTTGAATTGTCCATTGCCACAGTCAAAATGCATGGTAGTACAACTGATCATAAAGTTTACAGGCAATATTTTAAAATCTACTTGGAAAGCTTACAATAAAGTAATTAARAGCTGTGGAAGAGTTGTAACTGTGTAGCCCTAACAAGTGGGAGAAGGGGAAGAAGCACCAGTTTACAATATTTGGGTGACTGCAGTTGAAACTGCAGAACCATTATTTCAAAGACACTTCCTAACTTACAAGGACTGACACTGAGGACTAAACAAACATGGTTAGCAAATACTGTAAACTAGGAGGGCATATCCCTACACTATCAATGCATCCAACATGAACATCATCATCACATTCTGCTATGGATGTGCTATAACAAAACAGCTTAACAGTTCTACGAGGAACAGCATCAACAGATACAGAGCAACATTAAGATTTTTGAATTAGCATTAATTATAACCCTGGGGAAGCAAAGCCCTTMAATTATCTCCCCATTCATTCCTCCTCCCCTCCAAGCCAGACTTACTCATCAGTATATTAATGATCTAATTGTTGTCTACTCTGCAATTCTTGTTTCCTAGGATTGTATTTGCCTTGTTCAAAAAACAGATAGCACTAAATTACTGAAAAATCCCACCAAAGTCTCATTTACTATCCCATCAAGCCAGGATACATTTTCAGAAAACAGTGGTCACTCAAGGAGTAATGCAATTCAATCTGTTATCTTTAYAACACCACATTCAGTAAAGGAAAACCAGACAGGTCAAAGCTTTCAGCAGCTGGCATTAATCCATGGACTGGACCAATTTCACAGGAGCTGCCACTGGCCATTCTCTACTGCTCAGTTTCCTACAGCACTGTCATTTAATTGCYACTCAGGTCTCTGGTGGAGAATCCAGTAGGATTCTTCCTCACTCCASATATGTCACAAAAGCATTCTGAAATGTGAGCACACATCATCTCAGCATCATGTGGACAAACACTGGGTTTGCATCAACACTCCTACATTAGAAATGCCAGCAGCCTCCCAGCTTGGCCAGGTTAACTATGCCTTGATTTTTCTGTCCCTACAAAACAAAGTTCTTTCACTTTTATCAGAAGCTTCAACATTAGCTTTGGGGTCAATAGTGGGCTCTGAAGAGACATGAAACAACAGGTGTTAATAGCAACTTTATTGTTTCACTGGTGCAAAATCATGATACTGAATAAACTTGTGTAATGCATTTTCCCCTAAATTTACAGTAATGAAGGTTATACATATCTATATAGATTGCAATTTCTCTATTTTTTTATACTATTTGGAACAAAATTATCTTGATAAATATGCCCTGTGCACAGTACTGGCCCTCACTGAATGTCACAGAGCCTTAATATGCAAAATATAACTTCTGTTTTTGAACATGGTACTTTAAAACTCTCCAAACATGCATTAATATATTCTAGTTTTAGGGAAAAATATTACACTTAGTCTTAACTTGCATTAAAAGAAAAGCACAAGCAGAATTTGACATACAATAATCCCAAAATCTGATGCTCTGTAAGGATCAGACACAGTTTCAGCTGACAGTCACTGCCAGTTTAGAGCTCTAGTGCTACAGAAGCAACAGTGAACAGACAGAAGAGAAATCAGAACTGAAGAGCCCTACCATGTCACATGGATTTCAAAGAAAGTCTCAGCCATGCTAACTGATGAAACCTGTAGTTGCTGGTCCAACCTTTCAAATTTGTTAGAGTACTCAACACAAGTGTTTGAAGTGCCAGACTGAACACATGAATGTTAACTTAACTTGACGTTTCTGAAAGGCACAACCTAGGAACCTATCTTAAAAAAAAAAACAACATATGGTATGTAAATGAAAACAGGTACAGTGAGTGTCTTTCTAAAGAACAAGACCTTCATAAATTGGCCCCTCAGATTCTGGTGATTCCCTCCTCAGACGCAAGTGCTCCAGTGTGTTGTGAAAGTGTTTGTTAATTTGTTCTGTTTCTTCAGTAGACTCAAGATTCGGGAGGTCTTCTCTGATCTTCTGTATAAGCTGATTCAAAACCTGAATTGTCACCTACAGAACATAAAACAGAAATCTTTAACACCACCTGTGTACAAGTGCAGACGTTCATTTTAACAGCCTCGTGTTTAAGCTATTTGTATTTGGACAGTCCTTCAAAATGCTGGTAAGACTGTATGCAGACAAACTGTTGGGGACTGCCTTCTCTCATTCCCCACAAGACCCTTCCAGTTTTAGTGTTTTGTAGAAATTCCTCCATCCCAGCAAATGTGAAAAACTTCAGTTATCAGCCTGATAGCTTTGTAACCCTTGCAAGAGGTTTCTCTCCAGTGCATTCAATACAAATTTAAAAAGCTTCAAACCAACAGCCCACACAATCAGACCATGTATGTAAGATAATTGTTTGTTACAGAAGTCAGACTCAGTCAGGATGCTAATACCAGATTTCAAGTTATTCTTAGAAAASAAGTCATGGCTGCCTCCAGGCTGAAGTTCAGCATTACACCGAACATCAAGTCACAAAATACCCTGCAGACCACCAGTGTCCAGAGAGTATTTTTACATTTGCCAAGCGCTTGGAAATTCMAAGCTTTATCTTCAGCATCTCCTATACTAGAGCATTCCTATGGTGAGAAGACAGTTGTTGGMAAGTCAGTGAATCCTTCAAACTTGTTTAGGAATTCTCTGAGAACTAGAGGGTATTCTTTAATGTCTGCTCTCAACCAGTGACATCACAGGAGACACTGACTTCTACTTGACCAAGCAGCTTTTTCAAACTGCGTAACTTTTCCAGTTATCTGCTAACAGAAAATAGATCAGGTAACCAATCTCAGATCACACACACAATTTCATTAGAGTATATGTGATGTCATATACGTTTTGTGAAATTAAAGGTTATACCAACCTGGCATAGTCAGCAGTGACCATGAACACCTGTAAAGAATTTTGTTTCCCTTACATACACATTAAGTCAGGTACTTCTAAAGCCAGAATCTTACTACTTTCTCACCTAAGTTTCAGTAAGTTTTAATCTAAAAATATTTCAGGTATACAAGTTTCATAATATTTAAGTTGGCAACTAAACTGTGAACATTTTTCCCCTGGGTAAGAAGACAGCAGCTCAATCCAACAGTTTTCCTAGCACATCAAGAAGTGACTCCTCTGTTATCACAAGAACTTGTGCCTCTCGTGAGACACTACAGGGCAAGCTGAAGAGACAATTTGTGACATGTCAATGAAGAGCCTAAAGAAATGCTCTTTAAAAMAGATGCAACAGAGAATGGATTTYSACTCACCGCCTCATTTTCCTTTTCATAAAAATAGATGTATCTATTCAGAATTTCTATGAAAAGCTGGACTTGCAGAGAAGGGTCCATGCATTGATTTGCTATCTTCAGCGCCTTCTTTAAGCATTCCATCACCCTTTTTCCTCCATGAAGCTAGAAGGAAAAACCCCAAAGTTATAGGAAATACAAGAACCTTAGGGTGCTCCAGTATCTCTTCCCTTGGCACACAGTGAGCATTTCCTGGGGGTCTGCCACAGAAACACAAAACTACATAAACTGCAAAGAGCAAGCTGCTTTTGAAAGCTTACCCTGCCTGACTGCCACCAATATTAGATTCTGTCAGATCACACAGTAACATGAACAGTTGTTGAAAGCCTTCAATTATTAGATCAATTAACTCAATTTTGTAACATCTACCATAATGCATACTTTGAAAAATATTKCAAAACACTGCTCCTAAAAATGACAACAGCTTATGTGACAAGCCCTGAAAAACATAGAGAAATTTTTTACCTTTACTTCAAAAACTTTTATCTTTAATTTGGAAGTTTAGTAGTTCACATACAAACTGAGCTAATATAATAAATACATGCATAGTGCAGCCCAGYCAACCAGCCTTAAACTAGCTGACACTCAGAAGCTTGCCTGGTACTTTTACCCTTAAATTAGAGTTTTTTCCATTTTTTATTTATGCTTATGTTTACACTCCAGTGAGTTTTAGAACTTTCATGTATTAGAAAAAATTCCAAATCTACATCACTGATGTATCTACTTTAGAAGTGTCTGCTGAAGGAAGGCAGAACTGTTACTGAGGCAGGATGTGTCCCACTGCTGTCACTTTGCTCTTACCTCCTCTCCATTCTTGTCAGTGTTGCGGCCAGACCAGAASAGATGGGCACAAGTGCTCACAGCTCGGCACTGGTCTGGCTTCTTCAGGAGTTTGGAGGCTGCCAGCGCACACTGAGTCCTCAAAGGCTCGTGGTTCTCCTCACTGAAGCACTTCATCCTCTCAAATGTCCCAATTATCAAGGTGATTGCTGCCAGCTGTGCTTTTGAATCACTGATTTCATCTTCATATAGAGAAAAGGCCTAGACAAGGGAGAAAGCAAGACTCAATCAGAGCACATCAGAAAAAAATCCCACCTGCTACTGACACAGCAGAAAACAGTCCAGCTTTACATTTGTTAAAGGCTTCAGGCAGGAAAGAAGATCTTTCATTTAGACTGTCAAAATCAATTAAATCCACAGACCAGAAAAAAGTTTTGCAGGAAATAGTATTCAAGTGGTCATAGCAAACAAGTWTGACCCCACATGTAATCTGAAGATYGGGGTTTCCTCATTCAAGCATCTATTCCAATACAGACATTCAGCAGCAGAAATAGTCCTTGGAGAAGATTTTGGTTCTTTGAAACACACTGAACAGCAGAGCAGAAGTTGATGGCAGGTCAGTGACGAYAGAGTAGGTGAGAAAAGCACTTGCACTGCTGCTACACAGATGAAGAATGTTCAGAGAAATGACAAGTSTTGAACCGCATCTCTAATGGAAAGTACGTAATTGCCATGCTGCTCTCATCCTCACAACTGTGCTACAACACCATGAGCAAAGCTGAGCTTAGCAACAACTCAGTTTAAAAACATGCATTTAGTAGCATTAGAGGAAAGATTAGGACAAAGCTTACAACACGGGTAACATGGACTACATTGGCTCTTTATCTGATGGGTAGGAGGGGAAGGTTTTTGCAACAACTAAGGCTTAAGACCAAGTTACAAGTTCAAGTGGATTCTCAGAGCAGTTTATAATAGGTTTCAATACAAGGATTTTAATTGGCAAWGCCCAGCATGGCAGTTGTGAAGAATGCAAATTTTAAAAAACTTCCAAAGAGCGCTTGTGGTCAGGACAGGATATCAGGAGCTGGACAGAAGCAGTGAAAGAGCATTTTATGCTGAGAAAACTACACTCCTCCAGTGAGCCAACTACATGAGCAGGAGGCAGCATTGCAACATACCACACGTTGTCAGACTGAGTATTCAAATCAGTAGCAATGGAGCTTAATTCCACAGCAGCCTGGGAAGCAAGAATGAAAKGAGGAGTTTCCACCTAGTAGCACTGGCTGTCCATCATTTCAGGTGTTTCAATCACACTGGATGGTTCAGGGTTCAGCAAACCTACCCAAATCAAATTGAAGGCAGCACAGACATCAACTCTAAGAGCTGGCCACTCACCTGGGACATGAACTCATAGGCCACAGTTTCATGATTCTCAAAGCCAATCTCTCCTGCAGCCAGTGCTCCCTGCAGGAAGAGTCGGAGAGGCAACTCTGCCAGCTCTGCTTTGATCAGAGCACTGATGGTCTGATGAGCAAATGAGAAGATCTTCTGGCACTTCTTCTCCCATTTGTCATCCTAGACAAGAAAAATATAGAAAAGCTTGAACAAGAATATTGCTACAAGGAAAAGGGATCTAAATAATATTAAGAGCTGTTAAGTGCTCCAGTCTGTTGCTCTCTGATGCCACTCCAGTGGCAGCAGTGCTCCAGCAGTACTGTGCTGGCTTCAGTGGGTCTGCACAAAGTATTTCTTTCATTTACAAAACTTTCACACCCATTTTTCCTACCAGCTCATAAGAGCCTTCCTCAGAAGCCTACACTGCATTGCAGTTAGGACAGCTATGCTTAGCACRTAACTSAGCAAAAGACTAATCAGCTAAGGGRAGAAAAATTCTGCTCARTCTGGAGCAATCAGAAGGGGAAGAGAATTTTAAAACCTTAATTTCAAAGAGTACTTTAACAAACAGCATTTAAACTCCYTTTCCCTCAATAAAGGAAATACATATTTAAGGTCACAAACTCAATCAGAAAGCATTAAAGAGCCAAAATAGATCACTCATTATTTTAATATACATTTTTACAACTACTGTATAAGTTAAAGCAARTGCTTTTTTGTACATTTAGAAACATTAAAATAGTGTGGCTACAATTTAGAAATTGATGAATTTCAATATCCAGATTTAAACTAGTTTCATGCCATCAGCTGTCTGGTCTCCAGTAAACGAACATCTTAACGAGTAAACAAAAGTAGCCAAACAAAATTTCTCAAGTGCTGAATTAATTTACTATGACTTGATAAAAATCTTCATTAAATTTGAATGCATTCAACCCTCAAGCAAAAATCTGCCTTGAGAAAATAAAACCAAACAAAACTAGCCTTCTGTATCAAGTTTGAGCATACTTACATAGCCAGAAAAAATGCATTTTTAAGAAAACAAAACCAAGCAAGCAGACAAGAGCAAGCTGGAGGTGAACTTACCACTTTGGAGTTCTCTTTGTAGCGAAAAGCGAGCTGGTAGGCAGCAAACACCAAGGGTGGCAGTGTGAACCGAATGCGCTGGTTCCCTCCTGCCCCAAAGTGCTTCCGGGCAGTGTTGAGGATCTGGAACAGAAGCATCGTCAGCTCAGAAAATTCKTCCCACAAACAAGCACTCAAGTGAATGCAGTGCCTGACCCTACACATAATTTTGGATTAGATGCAGAATCCATGTAAATAACATGAATTTACAGAAGTCTGTGATCACCCATTATACACTGCATTAGCCACTTAGGCTTATACACTTGGACTGGGGTGTTTGAATTTCCATTTCATATCTCTTCCATACAGAATGCATAATTTAAAGTGCGATACTGTGAAAATCCCATAGTCATGGATTTTTCCTGCTGCTGCTGTATTGTAGAAAAATTTGAYACAAGCATTTGTAATACTGAGGGAGCTATTAAGCATTTTTACTAAAAGGTGTTAAATAGCTCACAGAATTATATCCAAAAGAATGTGACAAGTCCTTTGACGAGATTTAAAGGTGATTTAAAGCAAAGCACTGCCAGATGAGAAAGACTGACATTCAGAATCTTTGAAGAAACAGCTTCAATGTCTCTACCCCCATCTTTTGGGATAWACACCTCAATTTTCTAGGTGCCAGCTTGCACTTTTTTGTTGGTCTATTCTCACTGTTTACACAGGGTGATGCTGCTGCAACTTCAGAAGAGAGTCAGCCAAATGTATTTCAAGCACAAACGATAACTTCACAGTAGTGCCTAAGCAGGCCTGACTCTGACTCAAGCTAACTAACTGTGCATCTGCAGCAGCATTCAATTTCAGCACAGCTTCTGCCAGCTTCTCCAGTGGATTTGGCATAGACAGAATAYCCCCAGCCCTCTACCCTAACACACCTATCTAAAGACAGGGAGGTCATTTAAACTTGAAATAARCTAAAGCCAGATATGGCAGATTAACAGCACAGAGCCATATGAAGTACCATGATCAACTCAAACCATTACAAGTACCATAATGCACACATTTCAAGGACATGTCAAATTTACTGTTACACATGAACCATGCTGAGAGAAAGAGATTTGTAAACAAGCAGCAGGACACTAGATGCTGTATGAAAACCCTGTCCTTAGAGAAATTAAAATCTCTGAGGGCAAACATACTAAGCTGTATTTTTTGAGGGGTTCTGTGTATTTTGATACCAAGAAAATGCAAATAGTACTTGCTGTGTTYTTTGATAGATGATTAAATGAAGTTGTCAGAACATTAAGAGTTCCACAAACCAACATAGTTGCCACCTCCTGAATGGAAACGTTAAATCAATAAATGGTTAAGTCCTCACCTGCTTTTTCTAAACAAACAACATATCATCCTACCAGTAAAGATGTCATMTATAATGTTCTCTACTGAGTTTGTAGTGCCAGAGCACTCAAGTCTTGTATAGTCACAACACAAGAACTGTGACAGTTCAGAGAGCACAGACATTGTGAGAAGCAYCAATCACCAACCAGGTACTGTTGGTCAGGGTCATCAGAACGCAGCAGATGAATAAATCTTCCCACAAGACTCTGCTCATCAGCAAAGTCCTCAGGGTCAGGATCTTCAGCAGGCTGATCTGGTTGATCCTGGATCAGCGTGGACACCAAATTCATGATAGCATCAACCTGTTAAAGGCAACAGAAGATCTGTTTACACTAGAGTAGTCCATAAGCATAAATTGCCAGCAATTGGGAGTATCTTTATAGCCACTCATAGTCTTATGCTTCAGTCACATGCCTTACATCCTGAAAGAGGGTTCCTCTTAACACAGGTGGGACAGGACAGCATAGCAGAGCAGTCAGATTCCAAAGGCTATGTAGCCTTCTTTAGGTAGTAGACCTASTTTTAAAGGGATTTAGGGTCTCTGTTTTCACCTAACAGCAGTAGTATCTGAGGTTTGGTAAGATCAGAAGTAGCCTCTAGGATGACATGTGCAATGACATTTAGGAACATGGGAGGAAGAATTACCTAGTGGGATAAARCCTGTGCCAGGGGTACCAGGGGCATGCAGGGGCATGAAGGCTAGGAAACAAAGAATGCCCTGCATTAAGTCACTTAGCATGTGTTTTCAGGTCTTTGAACAGGCATTTAAACACCTAGAATTAACTTGTATCATACCTGGTCTTGGGACACAATTTCTGTGTTATAATCCAACACATTGCTGAGCACGTAACAACTCATGCTCTTCCTGGACTCGTAATCAAAGTATTCAAAGAGTGGGTGAAAATGTTTCAGTTTCAGAACTGTCAGGACATTGTTGTAAGTATCAACAGGGATTTTCAGAAGTCTAGTCAGCTCCTTTGAAACAGCACTGCTTGTTGCAATACTAAAAGAAAASACAGGCAAAAAAACACAATTAATCAATAGTKCATGAGTGTAGGCAGGTTTAAAGTYTGCCTCAGAATATCAGGTCTGAGGTATACAATAACGATTAAGCAACCTGCTGCTAGGGAGAAAGGAAATAAAGTAGCAGAACAAGTCATATCTTCCTCTTTGGGACACACAGTGACAAATGCATGTTTTAAGTTGCTGCTAGCAGAAGCAGAGACTGTGGCTCTAAATGCGTAAAACAGAACTCCAGAGTGTTGCAAGGGGTGCATTGATAATGCCTGCACACAGCTTAGCACACACATTGTGTGGCTGTACAGCACGACACATGCACGACATATCCTGGTTAGTCAGGAGTTTATCRGGATTGCTGCAGTGATCTTACATATTCAGACGTGGGAAATGCAGACGGCCTGATTTTAGGGTATTATTTGCCATGCCAAAGGAAACGYAAGACACACTTACTGTTCCAGATTAAGTTTGTTGAATATTTCCACAGTAGTCTCCAACACCTTGTCAACATAGTCCACACGGTCTGGGTAGCACTTCATAGCCAGGTTAATGAGAGAAACTTGTAAAGACACCACATCCTCTGAGGGCATATCCTGCCGAGACTGAAATTTAACACAACRCAAAGTTGGTACAAAAGCAGAGAACTTTGCAGAAAAACACCCCCAAAACTGCATGCAGGGATACCCAGCATACCTGTATAACAGTAGCAACCTGCTGTGAAAAGATGTCAAACAGTTTGATATCTGCTGGGATACCAGGTCCATCTTCACGATGTGCAAATAAAGCTAACCTRGTGACAGAGCAAGGAAAGCAGCTTGGTCAGGATAGCTTTTCCAATCCTCAAATACAGACGAGAAAAAGGAACTGGCAGAAAAAAAGCAAGTCCTTTAGGTATATTTGGAAGCTCTATTACAAGCAAAAAGGAAATTAATGGAAGTCAGAAGCCTTATGAGCAACTGAGCCTGGTAACTATCAGTCCTGGAAAAGAGTGCTGCCAGAAAAGGCAAGGTGAAGAAGGAACAAAAAGGACATTTCATAATTGATGTTCTTCAGCTAGAAGCAAGTACTCCTTTTTCCAGCAGATAAAGAGGTATAGAGTAGGCTGATGGAAGAGCAAATATSCTGCATTCATTTATTCATTCAGTGATATTACTGAAATTAGACACCCAATAGCATTCTCTACAAAACAGCCTTCAGAAAAAACACCCATGGAAGAAATATGCTGACTTAACYATTCTCTGTTGCTAAAGACAGACTGACAGGATGGGACTTCCACTATTTGCACAGAATAAAACACGAAGTAAACTAGAGAAGAATAGAGACTTGAAGAACCCTCTTTTTTAGGGGGTGAGAGCAAGAAATTGCTATCCAGCAAGCATTCAGGAGATGGTGAGAGGTATTTATTTCTATCTGTAAGAGGAGGAAGTCATGCCAACCACCATTTCTGCAAAAATGAGATACAAGATAGAAAGCAGCTCTATCGGAAGACTAACACCTTACCAAAGCTGCATCTTAAGAAGATCAGCACTGCTATCTTRATTTTCTAATTATTGAGATGATTCTACTTAAATCAGAGAAAGAACTACAAAAATGTTWAGGAAAAGGCATCACATTAAAAAATTTTAAATTCTTTCTACAGGGTTTCTAAATTTTGATTCTGAATGAACTGTGTGTCTGAAATAAAGAGACAGATAACAAAAGTTTGGGGTGCCAARAAACTTCACTGCCAGGAAAAATAAGACATTGAACCATTCTTATATTTGACTAGGGTGGTAGGAAGCAGAATTTCTAAAGCCAGGAACAATTGCTGCCTTTTCTCAGAGGAACAAGGCAGCTTTCCTTGGCAACAGCTCAGTGTAAAGCCAGCAAACTACAAGGTACGAACAAGCTGCAGGCAGATGGCAGCATAATTAAAARCCATGAATGGTTTAGTAAGGCAACGAAGATCCCAAAGCAGCAAGACYATTTGCAGAGACTCCTTCAGCAGGAAATCCCCACAGGAATAAGGATAAAATTTTCACAAGCTTCTTCAGCAGTCACTGATGCTCAGATTCAATTATCCACTGCCATCTGAAACAAAGATGTGAAATGCCAAGAGGGACAACCCATGCAGGGCAGATTCACATCGTAACTAYACAATACTGAAACCCTTGGTCACTGCTTCTACCAGCTCCAACACAAGAGCAACATCCTCCCTACACGCATGGACTCCAAGGACAGAGCCACTCACAGGCTCCAGCACTTGCACTAACATTACAGTCAAAACCACAAGCTGCCATACTACAGAGATAACCATCATGCTGCCACCTTTCTACCCTGTCCCACAGCCCAAAGAGAGGGCTCTGGAAGCCTTCAGTGGCCCAACAAACCACTGCAGTGCTAAGTCTGGGAGGACAGAGAGTCACTGCTTGTAACAGTAAGAACACAGAACTTATTGTGGAAGCAATGCCAAAGTTTAAGTCCTCCAAGCAGAGATGACAGCAAAAGCTACATAAGAAAAGCCTTCCCACAAGAATACAGTGCCACACTCCAATGTAAGAGCCTAGCAAAAGATGTTGTAATGCTGTTAAAAACTAGTCTCAAAAATCAGTTACAGGCAGCCCTTCTAGGGATTTGGGGGTTTTGTGGTTGGAGTTTACAGTTTTGGGGGTCTTTTTAAGCTTACAAAATAATGAAAAATCTGAGCCACAGCAGCAAAGTGTAGGAAACCAATGAACTGCTGTGAGCTTCTCTGTATGAAGGCAGCAAAGGCGGCACGGTGTCTCTGACAAATGCACAAATTCTGAAAGATATTCCAATAAAAACCAAGTCTTGAAMAAATAAATCTGACATAGCCTGGAGGAAACTAACTACAGTCTTGGTAAGTAAAAAATTCAAGATACTAATTTATACCAGTCATGCTCAATACACACAAGTCCTCTCCAGGCATTGCTAGAAGAYACAGTAATCTTATTCATTGCTGAATGCCAGGGGGACCCAAGATCTCTATGGTAACTGAAGTCCATACATTGGTACACAGACCAGACGTACGAAAGTACATGTTTGTGTGCAAATGCACAGGACGAGGCTCTTTTTGAGGCTGAGGCAAGCCATGCAAGTGCACTTCCTTCTTGCAGAATGGTGCAGGTACTCATGGAAAATCTGTGTTCAGGTTGACCTTAAAGGYCTTTTCCARCCTAAATGATTCTATGATTTCTCCCCCAAATCGGAATCCAGTGGAAGCAGTTTAAAGCAGTACCTCCACAGGAAAAACATGCTTTTGATAGAACAGGCAAGATGCTAGTGGCAAGCTAAGAATTAAGAAATAGCTCTGTTTCCTATAGCTCTCTTCTGAGAAAGCATTGTTATGTTCTCTSATCAAACCTGCAAGGTAAAGTATTCCTGATACATGATTTAAGCATTAGGATCTTCAAGTTTTCAAGAAATACCTRTGACTGATAYGGGCTGTCAAAGCAGGGCACTGCTRTCACTTCAGTTCAGAAACATGAAACTGCTCAATACTAAATGGGCTGTTCCCTGGCTTAACTTGTTTACMAGTTTTAATCAGTCCATAAAGTAAGTTTCATTGGAAGCTGTAAAAGCAGAGTCCAGAGAGCAGAAGCTACAGAAATAATACTCTTCACAGCTTTAATTACAGCTGATAGAAAGRCATGGAACAAGTGAAGTTAAGCRATATCAGAAATTAAACACATTCAAWTGATAGAAGAATTATCATCTGCTTGTGCACAATACAAACTTAATTTTGAGCCAATTTCCACCCCCTTGGTCACTCACCTGTCAATTAAAGCAATAATTATATTTTTCACATTCACATTTTGGTGCAGCTCAGCACAGGCTCTGAGAAATGGGTTCAGGGTTTGGAGGTGAAATTCATCTGGGAAAACCTGAAGTTTTAGATCAATAGTCATCAAGTTATAAACTGAATTTGCCCATTGTTACACAGAAGTAAAATGAACAGAATAATTGTAAAGCAGATAGCCACATAGTAAATACACTCTGGCCTATGAAGCTGACCTTAACTGGGTAAATGCATGAAGCAAGASATCTAAGACAAAAGGTTAACTCGAGGGCCCATCTATCTATTACAACTTAYAACACAGGCAYTGCTGCTCAGATGCTTACAAGCTASTGCAACAGAAGAAGCACAAAATGGATCCGTCTCCACTCTGCCCATGTGGTAAAAAATACAGGACAAGCCACTGTGTAAAAGTCCCAGTGATGAAGTTTTTCCAGTCCATGAGGAAGATGTGAAAGCTGCCTGAATCTGACTACATGTATATARAAGTGTCCCTGTGTCCCATCACTGCCACTGAATTTAAGCAGCTCACCTGTATGATACACTCCATGAGGTACTCCTGAGCTAAAGCATCTCTACAGTTCACAACTTGCTCCAGTATTCCAGGCAGAACAATCTGCAACAGGGGGAAAAAAGTCTTGCAGTGATTTTACAATTACCTTCAAAGTTTTTATTCACACACATATTTAATCCAAACAGAGCAGAATTTCTAACAGTTCTGAGCTGATTCTCTACATAAAGTCTTTGTGATAAAAAGTCCAATTTTCTGCAGTTCCATCCTTTAGAGGAAAAAAAAAAATCTACTGATCTCAGAAGGCTGTCCCTTTCATACATTATGCAAGCTTTGATTTCTTAAGTCAGTGCTACTGACTTTGCTGGCACATACTCAGGCTCTCAGCAGCACCACTCAAAGCTGTTTTGAGCGGCTGTATGGTAGAACTTACAGGGACAGACCTTTAAATAATACATTTCCTTCAGTGTCATTTCACACAATAACAGTTCTCTTGAATGCTTTGGGAAGCACAGCCTCACTTGTCAAGTCTATCCCAGAACACGGGATGTGTGCATATCCCTTAGACCAACCCATTACTCTGAAAGGAAAGTAGAAACTGGGAAGGAGAGTTTTAGAATTTCTTGTCACTGTTACAGACAGAAGAAAATGCGTGGATCAKGTCCTTAGCCTCAAAACACACTGCACACCTTCATCAGCACTCAGAACTTTTCTTTAGGTTGAGTTTGAGAAGCACTGGGATTATTGAACTTTTAGCACACCTTTAACACTTGCAGCTGCTCATGTGAAAGTCCAAACTTTTAGTTTATTTAGAACAAGTTGGCAGAAGAAAGGATGTCAGAAAGGATGGCGAGACATCCCACCTGCTTGTATCGTTCCACATTCACYCCTTCCAGCTGACTGAGGCGAACCAGGTTTGTTCCTACGAGGATCCTCAGCTCCTGCCTCTCGCGCTCCCTTTTCTCTCTGTCCCGACTGTGGCCCTGGTGTTGCATTCGCACCCACAGTTTGTTCATCTCAGCAAAGTTCAGCAGCACAAAATCCATCGAGTCACTGATGTCTCCAGTGGTTTCTTCACTGCAATTGGTGAGAGGTTAAGAACAGAAAAGCTTATCAGAGGTATTCATCCTTCCAGCCACTGGTGAACATACCATTTTTAAGAAGGTTAGAAGGTGGGGAAGTGTGGAGTGGGACATCTGGGTTCATAAGAAAGGTTCATATCCTCACTTGTGAGAAACCTTAGTGCTGAAAGGGAATTCTTAATGGACTAAACACCTGTCAAGTCTATGGAGTTCTAGCTTCTCTCAAATCTGAAGAAAGTCACACAGAAAATTTAAATATGCTCAATTAACAGAAATTTTATCAAGTTATGGCCCATCCTTCTTACTCTGCTTGCTCGCCTTCATCTGGTAAGATATTCCTGGTACACTGCAGGAGATAGTTTCTAAGAAAGAGGCCTCTAAGAGGATGCTGCACTCCACGGCACATCTCCACCAGGTCTTTCAAAATATCTTTCCTGGACTGTGGAAATGACTTGACATAGACAACACCTACTGTTATCAGCAGATACCTGCAAAAGACAGAGTCAAACAGTAAATCATAAAGTAACAACATTACACTTAAAGGCAACGGTTCCTTTCTTCCGTTCTGACAGGATTAGCAAATCACAAAAAAAGCAACAAAATTCTCATAAAGGTCCCCTAATTTTGGATATTTAGTCAGCTTTCAACTCCTGTTCTCCTCTGCTACAGAGCACAGCAAGTCTGAACAGCCACTGGATCTCATTACAATGCTTGATACACTGAATGGGTGAATGCTCACAAGTTCTGAATGCTCTCAGACTAGCTTGTCTACACTTCCAGCATTCCACTAAGCTGGAAAAAAGTTCTGGCACATACAGGTAAGTAACCTATGATGGGGAAGCAGTTAAGCCTCTTTCACACTGTAGTCTAGGAGAGGAAATGCACACTTTGAAAGACGCCCAGCCTGTACTCRTTCCCTCAGCACCTCCTGCATCAGGCAATAGGCAGCAGGGATATGCAGGATGCAAAGGACTGCTGCTCCAATGTATCTGACTCCCTTCCAGCTTGGAAGAAAAAAACCACAATGCTCAGAACCTACAGGTATTTAGTTTAGAGGCCTCRCCCCTCCCTGCATACTCCTCTGCCTCATGTACAGGACTCCATGAAAGCACCACAGRTTTCATCAGGGAGAACCAGTCTACAGCAAGAAGGCAGGAAGTCAACTCTGATGGCAACACACAGGGGAAAGACATTGTAATAGCCATCAGCCAAATTCCAGAAACTACCCAAAGATGCAGCCTGGCATGTCCAGAGCCTSTTCCTGGCATAAACATAAGGTCAGGAACAAAAAACTTGAGTACYAAGCAAAACCTAAATCCCAAGACTGACTATCTTAAAGATATACTGCAGCCCAACAGTCACATATTTAAATATAAGCCTTACAGGTCCTTCAGTATCATTTCTGGCATGCTATCAGTTTACAAGAAAAAAATATTCATAAGCACAAAGACTCCAAGATGAAGTCACACACGTTCAGGTTCCTTGTCACACTTCTTATTCTCTAAAAAGGCAGAAAGCTATGAGGCAACTATTGTGTGGGAGAAGCTAAGATCTAGACCCTCAGGTAACAGAAACATTTATTTAATAAATGCATAGACAATCTCCCTGATCAAAGTGTGGTACTTGGTTAATCTTCCACTGACYAAAAAGTCAACTTCATTCCAAGATGAAAGTGCTTCCGTCTTGGTCACATGAAGAATTAACACACTGACAGGAAGAACTGACCTTCCGCACCTGTACTCTTGGCCTAACGTCAGAAATCTCACAGTAATCCACTCTTAAGATAGGCAGAAATACAACTGACTATTGTAAACTGATTGAGAAGTCAATCATTGTCTCAATCCAGAGTCTGACTGCTATTTAACAATGAAAAAGCAAACAAAGACAAACACCAACGTATACACACTTACAGTCTCGGAATGATATTTCCAGCRTACTGTACTAGCTCATAAAGGTCTGCCACTTTCCTGCCTTTGGCAAATTCATCTGTCAGGTAGACTTCCAAGTAGTGTAGCTCATCAGAAATTGCCATGTCTTTTCCTTATAGTTAAGGATTTTAAGTTAGAATGCCTACAACATCTTTTCATAGCCATTTATGCATTCCCACCAAGGAAGAAAGATGCTGTACCAAACACAAACATGCCCAATTAGGCATACTTCTGAACCAGCAATCACTGTTGGGATAAATGTGCAAAATTAACCCCGAATATTCAATCAATTTTTAGCATATTAAAAAAAGAGAACAAAACTGGGAATAAATGAGTTATTTTACAGAGCTGATATTTTTTTAGAACTAGACTCCTGAAACCTCCCAGAGGAAGATACAAAAGACAATAAAGACCTGCTTTATACCCAAGAGAAAAAATAAACCTATATACAGTGAGCAAAATGTATACTCTCCAACAATATATACACATAATTAAATACTGAGGAGAAAAGTGCTAATAAATATCTGATACTAGATACCACTGTACCAAATAAAGCAGATAAACATCCCATTCCAAATTCAACATTTCAACTATTAGTTTCCTCTTGAAAGGATACAGAGCTCATAATAGCTCTTKGGAGATAACATAGAAGTCCGCAGCTCCCCAAGCATGTTGGAAGCATGTTTCAGAGCATCCATGAGCTTGTTCTTGTCCTTCAGAGAAATAAAGAAAATAGTCTGTTAGAAATAACATAAGGCAACTTCAGCATTTTTATCTTAAAAAAAAAAAAAAATCGAGTGATTTTGTATCTAACACATCACCCATGCTAGCTAAGTGGAATATTATACCTGAGGGTGATAGGAAAATGCATCCGAAAATACAGCTACAGTAATAAATTGCAATAYTAATGGCAGAAAAATCTAAAATCATTCTGCTTATGCAGTGATCACCACCCAACACTCAGATTCTACCCTGCAAGCAAAACAGAATGCATTTCCCTCCTCCAAATCTGGTCTGTTGATTTACTCAGATCTCAAACATCTCACAGCTCTCTTAGAAACCTCCAGRAGACAGACAATACACACTGCCCACCACCACCTTCCCCTACCTCGCACCCACAAAAAAATTCTCACTGAAAGGCACCACTTACTAGTCTGAATCTACCTGACACCTCTGATGCATTTAATCACCTGGCACCACAGGACACAACCACAAACCTCCCATCTACCACCAAYACAGACTTGAGCAACCCATCCTAAGCAGGAGCAGTAAGTTGAGGGAGAACAAAAAGAATTGCTAGTGTGATCCACTTAGTATATTTATACTGTCACTTAATGACAGATAGCTGTGAAAAGCTCAGCTGCAGCTACTTAAAGATTTCAAAAGCATTCCATTGAGCACAACACTGGAAGAGGTGTTACATTTCTTGTTACTGTCATTTGGCTGCAGTTAGCTTGGCTAACACATGAAAACATACAGGAATATTTAAGTTTTTATTGCAACTGTAAGCAGTTTCTTCAAATAAAAACAGAGGTGTCGCAAACCCAAGAAAGCTATGTGTGACTACATAATCTGCCTGAATTGGCTRCAATTCCAAGATAAAAATCCCAGCACAACACCAGCCAGTGGYATTTTCCAGTCACAGAAGATTTCACATATCAGTCTACAGTTAATCACTACAAAATTGATCCTCTGCAGCAGGTAATTCATCAGCAGCCTCTCAGTCTGACAGTCACACAAGAAAAGGCTACATGAAAAAAAAACCAACAGAATGGCGGACATAAACAATATGCTCATAATAAAGCTCAGTTTAGGCTTATTTAAATGCAAGCACATAARTTACAAAGGTACATCTTAACTTATCTTGTCAAATTCTGGAGCAAAACAGGAAGATACATTCAAAGAATACCCAAGACTCACTCTGAATGAGTAACTGCGTCTCTTATTGGCAAAGCCTCTGGCACAAAGATGCATAAAGGGTTAATWTTCCTTATAGCACTAGAGATTGGTATTGATTCACTGCTTTATATCCAGCAGACAAGAAGCTTCACTGCATCCCTAAGTCACACTCTTACCAAGCATCTCTTCATCTGGAACGACTGCACCTTCACAGCCTGAATGGCTTCATCCAGGAGTTTTTCCTGTTCATCCTGAGGAGATTGCTGTGTTGTTGGCTAGAGGAAAAAAACCAAACAAAACAGAATTTGATTATTTTTTTGAAGCTTGACTTTTTTTGATGACTTGACTAAAACTGGGTTCCCATACTTTAGAATCCAGTGCAAGTGACACTGCAGTATGATCACTCAAGAGTCGTCAGAAATTGCTGTGTGACATGTAAGGCAGAAAGTTCAAGYGTTCTGCAAAACCTGAAGGGAGGTTACAGGTAGCCTGTGAGCACCAATGCTTCTTGSAGAGCAAAGCCATGGGGGCAGAGCATGGTCAACTTTTCTTTTCCAGCATTTAGAATCCCGTGCAAGCCTCAGAGAAGAAAAGCCCCAAGAGAATGCAAAGACACAACTATGCTGACTGAAGCACTGCTGTTACTTCTGTCCACAGAGCATCAAAGCAAGGCCCAGACCACACACTGCAACTACACAGATGCTTTCTGTGCTCACAAGTCACAAGTTTGCAATTGCTATCTGAGCCACGCCGTTCTATTCAGGACAASTTTCAGATAAGCAAAGGATAAAGTACAGTCAGTGCATTCCAGAAGGYAGAAGCTACTTGGATAAGGCAATAGAAAGCTGAAGAGAAACAACTCTTCATGTCTCTTTGTCCCAGTCACACTACTAGAGTGACTCTCTTGCTTCCCCTCAGAAAGGCACATTCTATTCCTTAAACTGAAACGTTCACCATCTTTTGAGTTCCCTAGCTTCAGAGTGCATTTTCTTAAAATATTAAATAAATCCATTGCTTACATTCTTATATTTCCCATCAAGCCTATAACAAACTATACCAGGCTTTCTCCTAGTGCAGCTTCTCCTTTCCCTCTACCAGAATGAGATCAGTTTCTACAAGCATCTCTAAGTTACTTGCTAAAATGTCCAAATTCACTTAGACCAGAAACCYGCTGTCTTAACGTGCACCCAACCTTCCTCCTAACACCTTACAAGGAAAMACTGCCATCCACCTCTTGGTCAGCATCAGCCTTTAACACCTCATTAGAGCATCTCTGCCTTTCTCAATCTTGCAGTTTGTTTTCAGATGGCCCCTCCAAATTACTGTTGGAGACAAAAGCACTGATGTAGCATCTGAACTAGATCTCCCCCACTCTTGACAAATACCAAACACACAGTGATTTGCACAGCAGGCTCTCTAACCCTTCAGCATCAGTAAATTCTCAGCTATTTATACTTGTTCCCTTCATCCATCGTGCTCAGAAGGCCCTGAGCCTTTTTAACTGCATTTCAGTAACAAGCTAGAAGGCCATGAATTACATCACCCTAATGTTTTTAAAAACGGTCTTCAGTACCAACTCCCACACACCCCATGCAGGAAGTCCCCAGAAGTATCTGTTGAGGACTGAGATCAAAATTGAGGCCTTCATCAAAACAGAAAATTTTTAGTTTACCACCAATTTTATAGTTACAGAGCATTTCACAYCCCTGTTATTCCTATATTTAATTGGGATTTGTTCTGCAGTTGGAATCTCCCCACTATCCTTCCCCACATCCAAAAAAGAGTGCCTCAATCAGGCCCTGACAGRCAGTGAAACTCTGCTCTTAAAGCTTCTCAGTCACCCAGGTGGACAAAACCAAGATTGACCTGATCCAACACTGGTGACAAACCAGCTTCAAGAAGGTTATACAAGAAAAAGGCTCCTTYCAACCAACACTTCTGTGACTCTGTGTGCCTCGGTAATATACCAGCTATGCACAATAACTAATTAAGAAGTGTATTTAGTCAACAGAATAAAGCCATCTCTGCTAATTAGAATGACTGCACCTTTTACAAAGTTCTCTCTATATATATAATTAATCAATGTGCAGGTCCTCCTGCATGAAAATTATTTAARCATAAGGAAAAAGCAACAACCATGGCTATATGAACCTATTTCCCAGGCAATTCAATAGCTACAAACCCTCAGACAACCTCAAACTGTGAAACAAGTATGTTCTGCCAGCAGAAGTTTGCTGTAATTGYTAAGCTTTAATTATTCAACGGCAGATCAGACTTTTAAGGAACATAAAATGACAGTGCTGGGACCAGTGTGCAGTAATCAATATCAGAACATCGCATAACAGACTTGCTGAATTATGTCTATGCCAGAACATTGGTTACACTCTACAGTCCCCCAAAACCGTACCACTGCTTCAGCAAAAATAAATCACTACTGAGCTGACTGCCAGATGCTGTGACCACATCMAATCTCTGTTAAAGCACAGCTAGGGACAATGCAGTGATGCTAACACCAACCACAGCTTCCTAAGCCCCCTTCCCCTGATGGGCATTAAGTTTACACACCTATCAGCCCTGCTCTACCATCCCCATTTGTTCACAGGGCCAGACACTGCTGGGAGAGCAGTTCAGGCTGYAAACCATCAAATAAACTGCAAGACAAGCCCATTGGATTAACAGATTACCATTCACCTGGTTCAGCCTAGAACCACATAAACACTGCAAGCAGGGCTGTGAGAAGAAGGCTCTTTAAGAGCTACAYGAAGCMAAAGCATTTRTTGAAACATATTTYAYGGGGTTGTAGCAAATAAGTGTATTTGGCTGAGTTCAAACACATTGGTTTCCTTACTTTAGGTGAGCAACCATGCTGGTTTATAGCATCGTGGCCACAAATTTGGGATTACGCTTTTCATGATACCGGCTATGAGCTATGCAGATACAGCTGTATCTTCTTACACAACTTTAACTGCTGTAGTTGAGCAACAGTTGGGGAAAAATTGGAGTTTCATACACTTACAGTGAACCAGAGCCAGCTTTACATCAAACTCTATCCACATTAAGGCAGAGAATCCTTCCATTTCTGCCCTAATTTTGAACAGCAAGGCCCTACACTATATTCAACACCAGGACCATACGAAGTACATGACTGAATTCATCAATGGAAGCATTTTCATGTTAACACAAGGTATTAACTTCTTTCTTCTGCATCTCTTCAAAATACAGAGAATTAAGAAATAGGAAAATTCAATTTGTATCTCTGCCAATTTGAAGACCGAAAAGATGATTGGTCTAAACAAAGATGTCTTTATTACAAGCGCACTGAACTTCATGTCTGAAAAAAAAAAGACAACTGTAGCATTTCAGAGTGGCACAGGTAGCAAAATAACCTATGCTACTGTCAGAAGCATATAACAGGAGAKGTTGTGTCACTTGGGGAGTTGTTTGTAGTAGCTTTACCTCTGCAGGAATAGAAAACATCTTAACAGCAGCACTACTGAACAAGTTCCAACTCCTTCTTACTTTTCAAAGTATGAATATTTATCAGCTTACCCTTTTCTTCCAACTTCAGAAGGCAAGCTACTTTCAGCTTTAGAACTGTAGGGGTTCCAAACRTAACATTATCAAGCGATACACAAGATCACATCAAGACACACATATCCTGAYTACACATGCCTGAAGTTTGGGGATRCAGTGACAAAAGGCAAGAGAACATATGGCAAAAGGCTACCAGTGACACCCAGCAGAGCACACACTGAATCAGAACACAGTTCTGTCAGATTCCACGTTGAATAAAGCTGTTTATGTTCTGTAACTTCTGCATCTAGTAACATAAGATGGTATTTCAAGTGACATTTTATCAAAAAAAGCAATGTGGAATCCTAGGCCCGTGTACAAAAAACAATCTTGAACATAAGCTTTAGAAATGGAAGATACTTTGATACTGGGCAAAAGCAGCAGCACACTGYCACTGAGGCACAGAATACCCTGCCTTGTCAACTACACCTAAAATAAGGTATAAACCGCTGCATGAACACAAGAGGTGCAATTTATAGCAATTATGCAGCCATTCAGACTTTAGAAATGTCTGAGCTATCCCACASCAGATACACAGCAAATGTTGAAAAAAAGGAGCTGTGTAAAAAGTTGATGCGAAAAGTTTTCAGGTTTACTCATTTTCTCTTCTGAAGCAGCAAGGAAGCAAGTGAGCGGTGGAGAAAGGACAGAGAACTGCCTCTCCCAGCTGCACCAGCAGTTTCTGCACAAGAGACAAAAGCCTTTTGCCAGCTTTGAATACAGGGCTTAAGCATGCAAGTTATGGAAGTCAAAACTCACAGCAGATTAATCTGGAGGAGGGTGAGGAAAGCTGGCTTTTGGTGTGGATTTTTGGTTGTGCTTTTTTTGTTCCTTTCAGATTTTGTTTCTTTGGCTTTTCTTCTAATAAAAAGTAAACTGTAAGCCAGTAAACTGTAAGTTGCCTTGGAAAACAATTTTTTAAAACCCAAAATGGCTTGAAAGCAGCTGACCAGAGTAGTTAATAACAATTAGGGAAGTGTATTATTGCAGCTGCAAACATTATTCTGGATCACGTTGATCTTCATAACAGCAATTACTCCCGAACAGACAAACTGAACATTGCATCTGTTGTGTAACATTTACTCATTTTCTAACACTCAGTTCCATGAGATTCATTTTTAGYTCTGTATTTGATATTAAGCTGCATTCTAGAGACAGCCCAAAATAATAAACAATGTGCTGACTTAGTCCACTTAACAACCTGGTACATTGCAGTACTCAAGTATGACACAGTACTGAAAGAGAGCAGAGTTCAAGGAAGCTTGAAAGCTCATGTCTGACACACAGCTGTCTTAAGCTGCATGCAGAGTATAAATAATGAGTAAAAGGTTTTGCTTCCATTCCATTCTAAAGTGCATTTTCATCTAATCTCCAGAAGTCCTTTACTTTAGTTAACTGATGTGCTTACAGCCCATTCCCCATGGCACTTCCTTCTGTTTGCTCACATGCTTGTTCTGAATACCACAACAAATTACATTTACCCAAGGAGGTTCTCCTATCTCCTCCCAGTTGGATGTTATTAAGACTACCTGCAAACACATCACTGTTGAGACATTTCRAATTACTGCTCCCCAAGAGAGAGGATGAGTGAGTTCCAGCAGCAGATCAGGACACTGCCAGCCTCCAGCTGAAGCCTGGGTGCACACAGTGCACTGCTGGGTGACATCCAAAGGGGATGATTAAAACAAAAAAAGAAAAGCATATCCATTTGATACCATACAGGAAGCATTTCTCTGCAACATTTCAGACCCCACAACTTCTATTATAACTCACAGTAYAGGAGCTCAGAGATAAAAGCATTTCTCACTTGTTGAAACTGGTATTTACTGCCACGGGAAGCCACAAGATACTGTTAAGTATCTATTAAAGAGATGGACTTTTTATTAAGTGTATGATCAAAATCAGCCAGAGCCTTCTTAAAACAAGTCATGTTAAAGCTAAACCAAGCTCAGCCATAGGAAATCACAGGGGAGCCTAATTTGGTAGAAGGAATAAGCCCATGTTTCATACCTATGATTATCCCATTTTTAACATCTGAAACTTTATTATTTTTAATGAATCATTTGACAACAGCTATTTTTAGAAAGAAGCCACATGATCAGAGAAGTCTCTGGCCAGTTCCCATGGAAATGGCAAACATTGTCTCATTTCTCAGTTAATGACCACCACAAAATATTTGTGTTGGGAACAGAGAATGGTGTCTATATAGATTTAGCATATCTCATTTAGCATTATCACCCACTTCAGTATTTAACATTCCTCTTTCAAGCAACACTACAGGTTTTGCCCCCCTCCACCCCCAAAGATACAGATACCAACATCCATATAAYTTGAAGTCTATTCCAAAAGCCAAAGAACTGTGGAATATCTTCTTTAGCATTCAGTTATTTTCTGCCTCACTATCTATAAACCATTTGTAYTGTTTACATGCCACTCTTAGGCTAATTACACATTGTGGTGGTTACAGCAAGTGCTGCTTAAAATTTTATTGACTATACCACAGAAAGACATTTGTGTTTTACTAGGAAACTTGATCGTCCCCTTATTTTTATTGAGGACTGAAAAGCATGTCTCAGTATGCATTATTGCCATGTGAAAATGTCAGGTTCCACAGAATGAATGAAGTCAGAAAGGACATCTGAGACCGAGTCCAATCTAAGGCCAAACGCCACCCTATCAACCAGACCATGACACTCAGTGCCATAGCCAGTGTCCAGTCTTTCTTTAAACATCTCCAGGGACCGTGACTCCACCATCTCCCTGGGCACTACATTCTAATGTCGAATCACCCCTTTTGTGAATAAATTCCTCCAAAAGCCTGATTTGGCCCTCCCCTGGCACATCTTAAGACCATACCCCCTCTTGCTCTATTGCCAAGTGCCTGGGAGTCTGACGGTCAGCTCGCTGCCTCCCTGCCTCTCTAACAAAACACCAAGATTTGCGGCAAAGCGCGCTAATGAGCTGTGCCCATCAATGAAAGGCACCTCTTCTGCCGGAAAAGAAAGGAAGTTTACTGGGGAAGCCTACGACAGCAGTCATGGAGGGGCAGGAGGGAGTGGAGCGCAGGCGGTAAGGCAGACAGCCACGGCACACATGCACAGCACCAGCAGTGACACAACCCCGGCTTTAGCATAGGGGCAGCACGGCAGAACAGACCSAAACTCTGACCGCCGGTGCGGCCGCGCTCGCCAATAAAAACAACGCCTCCCCGCGCCCCTCCGAGCACATGGGCTGAATCCAAGGACCCGGCCCAGGCCGCGGGCAGCGTTACCGCCGACACAACGGGCCCAGCCCGCACCTCAGCCCCGCCCGGGCCGGACCGTGAGGCCTCCGCGCCCGCTGCAGCCCC